TGTTAATTAAGGTGAGAGTAAAATATAAAAAATTTGTTAGCTTGTCAAACTTTAAAAAAAAAATTAATGTATACTATCATCGCTGATATCTATTTTATTCAATTTAAATAATAAAATTACAGATACGCATAGCATGGACACATACATGTATAATAGTATTAATTACTTACAATTAGTTTAAATGTATTTGCAATTCTATAAAGTTATAATATTTAAAAAGACCTTACTTTTACTGTGGTCATTTATCGATAATATTGTTGGCTACCAGTCCATTGTGGTGGTGCAGAACTGTAATCAAACTGTGCTGGTCTAGGTTGTGAAGGTGTAGTAGAAGCAAATTGTGTGGCTTGAGGAGTAGCAGAGGTATAGGCTGGATAACTAGTAGTAGCACTGTAAGCTGCAGGAGGTGCAGCATAATACTGAGTCTGCTGAGGAGGAGGAATGTGAATTGGAGGCATTTGTGTTTGTGTATAACTAGGTGTTGGCTGGTATTGCTGATAGTATGCCTGTGATGGCACTACTGTTTCGTGAACTATTGCAGGAGCTGAATCTTGTATAGGAACAGTTATCAGATTAGTTCGAACACCAGTACTTTGAGATGGTCCTGACAACTGGCGTTGCCGAATATTTGTTGCTATTGCAATGGGAGTTCTTGGGTCTCCAGCTTTTGGCCGTACTGGCGCCCTCTCCGGCTCAATAACTTCCATCGGTGGATTTAGATTTGAAACATGACGATGATTAATATGAGCCTGAAGATCTCGTTGAGACAGGTATGTCCTGCGACATCCTGAGGAGCCGTAACGAGTTCCACCATGTGTACACATAAAGACTGTACCTAAACCTGTCTGTTCAACGCGGGACACTTTTTCTAAACAACGTGGACATTGCTTCTGCTCTTGTTTACCACACGCAAGGCAAAACACATGCTTGCATGGAATCTAAACAGAAATATGTGTTTTATTTTCTACAATAATTAATCACCTATATCAAGACCAACCATTCTTCCATATATTAAAATTGGCTTTAAACATTTGTCACAGCAGTGGATCATAGGGTTGAGAACTTTCTCTCCCATTAGATTGACTTTATGATTCCAGTCTAAACGGAGCATAGGTTCTGGTGGCCCTCTGTTTATGGTAGTAAATGTTGGCGCCTCCAATTGGGAGATATCAGCCTCCAAGTCAACTAAGAGTTAAAAAAATAGGTTATAAATAGAAATTTTAAACCTTTCGCAGGAATTTACTTTTCGGAGCAACGTTTTCATTGTCTTCTGTTGTTTGTAATTCTTCGACGGTTTCTTGATGTTGAGGGTTATCGACTTCTTCGTCACTCTCAATCACTTTAATTGCTTTTTTTCCTCTTCCTCGTCCTCTACCACGGCCTCGTCCTCTTCCTCTGCCTCCTCGGCCCCGACCGCGGCCCCTTTTAGGTCCACTCTCGTCCATTTTATGTATTTTTTAATAAAATTATTTACCGCATATCAGCTGATTTAAGACTATTTGCGATTTTAAGGTTAGACTATATATTTAATAATAAAGGAGTGACGTCTGCTTCCAGTGACCTGTGACGTGCATATGCATCCTCGTAATTATAAAGTTTTGGTATTCTATATCTACAACTATTTGATCTTGTTTTATTTTATTTATTTGATTTTGTAGTTAATTAGGATAAGAATACATGTGATTGTATACACATTTGATAAGTCTTTTTTACTCCAGGTTAAAGTGGTATGTAAGGGATGCATAAACAGAAGCAGTGTGTTGCTGTTTACTGCAGGAAGGTTTTATGACAATGAATTGGTAAGTAACAACATTAATTCAATGCAAAATTAAAGATATAGATGTGAAATTTTCATTCAACAGTAATGTTTTAGGTATACATTTCAGAAATACCAAAAGCAGATTTGCAGAATTAAAGTAGAACTATGTTCTTTCTAATGTTACAGCTTTTATTTTAATTATTTTATAAACTGAAATAAAAACCGTATATATTTTGCCTCTAATATGAGAAGATAAATTTATTAATAATATTAAGGAAAATAAGAAAACAATTTTATTAAATATTTAATTTTTGGGCATAGGTGAGTAGGTACCTACTTTGCTTATTGTTAATGCATTGTTTAGCACTACAAAATTTACTGTTATACATGTATTTAACTGCTATTTATTTCATTTCACTTCTTCATTGTAACTGCAATTAATTTGGTTTTCTTGTTCATTTCTACAGTATGGCCAACGAATGAGAGAGAGTAGATGCTAATTTTGATGCTGCTGCAGCAGGCAATGTTTACAAGGGTATCATTCCTGGAAAACATTCCTGATGTGTTTTCATCTTTACCTTGCAAGATTATGAAGTTAATTTTCAACCAAGGCGTGGTAGCAAGTGGAGATTTATTTTCTGCTGTAGCATTTCTACTGGATCTGGCTTGCATTTTACAATTCCAAACATTGGAATGTTACAGTCTACTGTTAATTAAGGTGAGAATACTTTATACAATTAATTTTAATTGCACTTTATTAATCTGTTATCACCCTGTTTCAGATTGACGGTGGAGAAGACAAAGGAGACCCCAATTTAAAATAGTTATTTATCTTGCATGCTCTATCTAAAAGAAGTAATTGATTAAGTTCATTTTATTCGAATTAAGTTTTTATTTTACATTGTTTTGTATTTTATTTAGTTCTATAACCTTCTATAATATTCAATGTTTCCTTATAGTGTTGTATTCTCTTCTCAGCCTTGTGGGAGGAGAGAGGGCCGCCTCGAACAAGTCCCCGTGGCCGTAGCTTTTTAGTTGTTCTTAAAAGTGTCTCATACACTTTTCGCGAGTCACTCTAGCGTTACTTCCTTTCAGGCAGGGTACAGTGGGTTATCTGGAATAGGAGCAATAGGCGACTGCCCAGCTTGCCCTGGCGAAATCTGTCCGATCTTGTGTACCAAAACTATTAGTATTTGCCGTTAGTCCTGTTAATTTGCACTAGTTTCTTTCAGATAATGAGGTATTCTCTAAGAAGAAAGAAGACATCGTATTTTTTGCTTTTTATTGTATTTTCCTTGAAATTTCATTTATTTTCTTGTCTTTCTTTTACAGGTACTATGTACTTTACTGTATAAACTGTTATATTTTTAAAATCCTAACCTGGGTTGATATTTAAAATGTTTCTATACTGATTTTTTGGTATAATTGTTAAAATATTTGTTAACGCTTTCAAAATTAATATTCGTTTGGGTGGATAGGGTGGGTAAAGAGGTGATGCGGAGGTCACAGAGGGTTAGGGGGGCTCTTTTCTCTCTAATCTTGCATTTCAATAATAATAATATGACAGTTCATGTATTATTTCTTAAATATTTTGTTTGTATTAATGTATTATTATTTGAAGTCCCTATCTGTTGATATTCATACGTTGTTTTTAATATAAATGCTATTAATTTGCAACAATAAATGTGTTATTGAACATATTTTATTTCATGTAATTATGTATTCAGTCATAAAAAAGGATGTAAAGAAATTATACAACTTCGGTACAACCCTTATTTTGTTTTTTCTTTCCTAATTCCACCTACCCCTACGAAAATTTTACTTAATAAAGTGATAATTAATTTAAATATTTTCTGTTAAAACTTTCCGATTATTCCTGATATTTCAGTTAAAGAATTTTAGAACGTCCCTCGTATTTGACGTTCCTAAAGCGACATCTCCCGAGCGATAGTCGAATATTATTAAATCAAGATTACAGGTTTCAACTATATTACAGATTTACAAATAAATTTGGATTTTAATATATACATGGGTGTATTTAAACCGAAAAATACCTAAAGAACACCGTAAATAATCATTTTTTGATAAAAATAAAGCAAGCCACAGCTAACTCTTATCATTTATTGATTAATTATCGATAATACATGGGTGGATTTTGCCCGAAAAAGACGAAAAAAATTCTATAAAATTTGATAATTTAGCAAAAATAAAGCAAACGAGAGCGTATTTAGATCATTTATTGATTAATCTTTGATATTGGATGTGATTTATTGAAGGATTCAGCAAAACTATTCTGCCAAAGTTCGATTTTCGTTCCTATACTTGAACGAGAAAAACCTAAAAAACACCATAAATAATAATTTTTTGGCAAAACTAAAACAAGCGGGAGCTCTTTGTATCATTTATTGGTTAATCTATATCATCAGTTATCATTTATCGATGAATTCAGCAAAAATATTTGGCAGAAGTTCGATTTCGGTTCCCAAAAACGATCGACAGGTAGCTATACATCGGTTATTTTTGGGAACCGAAATCGAACATTAGGACAAATTGTTTCTTAATTCGCCAGTAAATGATAACTGATATGGATAATTGATTAATAAATGATAAGAAGTAGCTGTGGCTTGCTTTATTTTTGTTCAAAAATGGCTATTTATGGTGTTTTTTACGTTTTTCCGTTCAANTCTTTTTCAAAAAACAACTTGAATTTTCCATTACTTTTCGACTAACCCTCGTATTTGGCTCAAAACTGAAAATTTTCATAAATTTCAACATTTGTATTAGGAGAGCATAAGTTGCATCGGGTCTTTTTCAAAAAACTTTTGAATTTTCCGTTACTTTTCGATTTCGATTTTCATTCATATACGTGGAGCTACCTTGAACGGAAAAACGTAAAAAACACCATAAATAGCCATTTTTGAACAAAAATAAAGCAAGCCACAGCTACTTCTTATCATTTATTAATCAATTATCCATATCAGTTATCATTTACTGGCGAATTAAGAAACAATTTGTCCTAATGTTCGATTTCGGTTCCCAAAAATAACCGATGTATAGCTACCTGTCGATCGTTTTTGGGAACCGAAATCGAACTTCTGCCAAATATTTTTGCTGAATTCATCGATAAATGATAACTGATGATATAGATTAACCAATAAATGATACAAAGAGCTCCCGCTTGTTTTAGTTTTGCCAAAAAATTATTATTTATGGTGTTTTTTAGGTTTTTCTCGTTCAAGTATAGGAACGAAAATCGAACTTTGGCAGAATAGTTTTGCTGAATCCTTCAATAAATCACATCCAATATCAAAGATTAATCAATAAATGATCTAAATACGCTCTCGTTTGCTTTATTTTTGCTAAATTATCAAATTTTATAGAATTTTTTTCGTCTTTTTCGGGCAAAATCCACCCATGTATTATCGATAATTAATCAATAAATGATAAGAGTTAGCTGTGGCTTGCTTTATTTTTATCAAAAAATGATTATTTACGGTGTTTTTTAGGTATTTTTCGGTTTAAATACACCCATGTATATATTAAAATCCAAATTTATTTGTAAATCTGTAATATAGTTGAAACCTGTAATCTTGATTTAATAATATTCGACTATCGGTCGGGAGATGTCGCTTTAGGAACGTCAAATACGAGGGACGTTCTAAAATTCTTTAACTGAAATATCAGGAATAATCGGAAAGTTTTAACAGAAAATATTTAAATTAATTATCAATTTATTAAGTAAAATTTTCGTAGGGGTAGGTGGAATTAGGAAAGAAAAAACAAAATAAGGATTGTACCGAAGTTGTATAATTTCTTTACATCCTTTTTTATGACTGAATACATAATTACATGAAATAAAATATGTTCAATAACACATTTATTGTTGCAAATTAATAGCATTTATATTAAAAACAACGTATGAATATCAACAGATAGGGACTTCAAATAATAATACATTAATACAAACAAAATATTTAAGAAATAATACATGAACTGTCATATTATTATTATTGAAATGCAAGATTAGAGAGAAAAGAGCCCCCCTAACCCTCTGTGACCTCCGCATCACCTCTTTACCCACCCTATCCACCCAAACGAATATTAATTTTGAAAGCGTTAACAAATATTTTAACAATTATACCAAAAAATCAGTATAGAAACATTTTAAATATCAACCCAGGTTAGGATTTTAAAAATATAACAGTTTATACAGTAAAGTACATAGCACCTGTAAAAGAAAGACAAGAAAATAAATGAAATTTCAAGGAAAATACAATAAAAAGCAAAAAATACGATGTCTTCTTTCTTCTTAGAGAATACCTCATTATCTGAAAGAAACTAGTGCAAATTAACAGGACTAACGGCAAATACTAATAGTTTTGGTACACAAGATCGGACAGATTTCGCCAGGGCAAGCTGGGCAGTCGCCTATTGCTCCTATTCCAGATAACCCACTGTACCCTGCCTGAAAGGAAGTAACGCTAGAGTGACTCGCGAAAAGTGTATGAGACACTTTTAAGAACAACTAAAAAGCTACGGCCAAGGGGACTTGTTCGAGGCGGCCCTCTCTCCTCCCACAAGGCTGAGAAGAGAATACAACACTATAAGGAAACATTGAATCTTATAGAAGGCTTGGGGTAAATGCGAAGCAAAATAGTAAGAATGTGCAGTAAGCTAAGCAAAGAGGTAAGCAAGAAACATGTTAGACTACCATTACTAAAAAATAAATAATGAAACACGTTAGTTCTACTACAACTAAATAAAATACAAAACAATGTAAAACCAAAAACTTAATTCGAATAAAATGAACTTAATCAATTACTTCTTTTAGATAGAGCATGCAAGATAAATAACTATTTCAACTGCGGGGTCATCTTTGTCTTCTCCAACGTCGATCTGAAACAGATACGGTGGTAACAGATTAATAAAGAGCAATTAAAATTAATTATATCAAGTATTCCCACCTTAATTAATTGTAGACTGTAACTTTTCAAAGTTTGCAGATGTTACATGCAGACCAAATCCAGAAGGAATACCACAGCACAAAATGTTGTTTCAGTAAATCTCCTGTTGTTCTTATTTATCAGTTGAAAATTAACTTCATGATGTTGCAAGGTGAAGACGAAAACAGCAAATCAAGAATATGTAGTTCACAAAAGACACCACTGTAGACCTTGGCTGTTTCAGTATGACCAAGTTTTATTTTGCATGCTTATTTTTGTTCATTTTATTTGAAGTAANGGCAAAATATATACGGTTTTTATTTCAGTTTATAAAATAATTAAAATAAAAGCTGTAACATTAGAAAGAACATAGTTCTACTTTAATTCTGCAAATCTGCTTTTGGTATTTCTGAAATGTATACCTAAAACATTACTGTTGAATGAAAATTTCACATCTATATCTTTAATTTTGCATTGAATTAATGTTGTTACTTACCAATTCATTGTCATAAAACCTTCCTGCAGTAAACAGCAACACACTGCTTCTGTTTATGCATCCCTTACATACCACTTTAACCTGGAGTAAAAAAGACTTATCAAATGTGTATACAATCACATGTATTCTTATCCTAATTAACTACAAAATCAAATAAATAAAATAAAACAAGATCAAATAGTTGTAGATATAGAATACCAAAACTTTATAATTACGAGGATGCATATGCACGTCACAGGTCACTGGAAGCAGACGTCACTCCTTTATTATTAAATATATAGTCTAACCTTAAAATCGCAAATAGTCTTAAATCAGCTGATATGCGGTAAATAATTTTATTAAAAAATACATAAAATGGACGAGAGTGGACCTAAAAGGGGCCGCGGTCGGGGCCGAGGAGGCAGAGGAAGAGGACGAGGCCGTGGTAGAGGACGAGGAAGAGGAAAAAAAGCAATTAAAGTGATTGAGAGTGACGAAGAAGTCGATAACCCTCAACATCAAGAAACCGTCGAAGAATTACAAACAACAGAAGACAATGAAAACGTTGCTCCGAAAAGTAAATTCCTGCGAAAGGTTTAAAATTTCTATTTATAACCTATTTTTTTAACTCTTAGTTGACTTGGAGGCTGATATCTCCCAATTGGAGGCGCCAACATTTACTACCATAAACAGAGGGCCACCAGAACCTATGCTCCGTTTAGACTGGAATCATAAAGTCAATCTAATGGGAGAGAAAGTTCTCAACCCTATGATCCACTGCTGTGACAAATGTTTAAAGCCAATTTTAATATATGGAAGAATGGTTGGTCTTGATATAGGTGATTAATTATTGTAGAAAATAAAACACATATTTCTGTTTAGATTCCATGCAAGCATGTGTTTTGCCTTGCGTGTGGTAAACAAGAGCAGAAGCAATGTCCACGTTGTTTAGAAAAAGTGTCCCGCGTTGAACAGACAGGTTTAGGTACAGTCTTTATGTGTACACATGGTGGAACTCGTTACGGCTCCTCAGGATGTCGCAGGACATACCTGTCTCAACGAGATCTTCAGGCTCATATTAATCATCGTCATGTTTCAAATCTAAATCCACCGATGGAAGTTATTGAGCCGGAGAGGGCGCCAGTACGGCCAAAAGCTGGAGACCCAAGAACTCCCATTGCAATAGCAACAAATATTCGGCAACGCCAGTTGTCAGGACCATCTCAAAGTACTGGTGTTCGAACTAATCTGATAACTGTTCCTATACAAGATTCAGCTCCTGCAATAGTTCACGAAACAGTAGTGCCATCACAGGCATACTATCAGCAATACCAGCCAACACCTAGTTATACACAAACACAAATGCCTCCAATTCACATTCCTCCTCCTCAGCAGACTCAGTATTATGCTGCACCTCCTGCAGCTTACAGTGCTACTACTAGTTATCCAGCCTATACCTCTGCTACTCCTCAAGCCACACAATTTGCTTCTACTACACCTTCACAACCTAGACCAGCACAGTTTGATTACAGTTCTGCACCACCACAATGGACTGGTAGCCAACAATATTATCGATAAATGACCACAGTAAAAGTAAGGTCTTTTTAAATATTATAACTTTATAGAATTGCAAATACATTTAAACTAATTGTAAGTAATTAATACTATTATACATGTATGTGTCCATGCTATGCGTATCTGTAATTTTATTATTTAAATTGAATAAAATAGATATCAGCGATGATAGTATACATTAATTTTTTTTTTAAAGTTTGACAAGCTAACAAATTTTTTATATTTTACTCTCACCTTAATTAACANTTAAAGTTTGACAAGCTAACAAATTTTTTTATATTTTACTGTACCTACTAGTCTATATGAATTTATTAAAGGCATATACATCAATAATTCTTATTTAGTGAATGATGAAACAGTAATAACATTAAATTAAATAATCAGTTTTCAGGCTGTATGAATAAGCCAGTTCATTTTATACATATTATTATTGAATATCAAGTTTCAACAAGGGGATCAAAATAATCAAATATTGAAATATTTGTAATGAAATATTTTAAACTCACCTAAAATAATTACTACTTTAAAAACCACGTATTAATATTTAATGTTAATATTTTGAAACGGTTTTGTGGTTAAACACCTTCAACAAAAATACATTAACAACAGATATTGTTTACATATTTTTTATAATATTTTTATGAAACTTAATTGTTATTAATCTATGATTGTAATTATGGCTGACGAATATTCGCACTAACGATAACAGTGCTTGAATTTCGTAATCATAAACCAAGGCTAAGATAACCTAACTGTTTTGACATTTCTTAAATGTATCATAAATACAAGAAATGGCAATGTTTAGAACGTTTGGGAGAAATCTCCCTTATTTTAATCAACAGTTTAGAGCACTTTTAGGCAATACAAGTACTTCAATCCAACTTGTGTGTGTTGTAGTGATTATAGGATATTGTTTGTCATTTTCCAAAGAAGCAGTAAAAGTTCTCTCAGTGACTCCAGGATATTTAATGCCATCTTCCTTTTGGCTTTGGACAGTATTCACCTTTTGGTTTCTAGAATTACATTTTTGGGAAGTTCTTGTTGATATAGTTACAGTTGGTTTATGTGGAAAACTTATAGAACCATTATGGGGTCAATTTGAAATGCTACTGTTCTTTGCAATTGTCAATTTTGGAGTAGCTATTTTAAGCACAATCTTTTATTATATAAACTACATGTGTACATTTGATCCAGATATATTATTCACTATACATATTCATGGACTTGCTGGATATATTGCAGGAGTGTCTGTAGCAGTCAAACAAATAATGCCCGATTTAATTTTAATTAAAACCCCTTTGGGAAAGTTGAGTAACAGGAATGTTCCACTCAGTGTATTTTTTACATCACTTTTGTTGTGGATTATGGGTTTATTAGAAGGAACATATCCCACAATGTTTTTAAGTGGATTAATCGTCAGTTGGGTGTATTTACGGTTTTATCAGAGACACAGTAATGGTAGTAGGGGAGATATGGCAGACTATTTCACATTTGCAAGGTTGTAGCTTTTTAATATAATTTTATGTATTAATCATCCATTGTTTTAGTTTTTTTCCAAATGTTGTTCAACCTCCAATTGCAGTTATCAGTAATACTACTTATGGGGCACTGGTAAAAATTGGACTTTGTAAAAAGGTTGTACGACGTTTTGACATGGCAAACCCTACTGGCGTCACCGTTTCTATACCTGGAGTTGATCAGCATGACATGGAACGCAGAAGGTATATTCAGTACTTATTGAGTGCATTGTGACTTACTTTTAATATATCTTCTCTGTTTTAGACAAATTGCACTCAAGGCTCTTAGTGAACGTCTATCCAAATCTCATGATGCTAGAGACAAGCAGCCTCTCATTCCTAAATCAAATTCCAAGATTGTACTACCACCAAATACTTTTCAAACTAGTTCTCCATCAACATCGCGAACATTTTCACCAATTGTGGTCCCTGCACCTGTTATTTCTACTGCTGCTAACTCAGACACAGTTCCTCCTGTTCCGTCGACCGTTGTTGCAACTTCGCCTGTTTTACCAAAAAATCACTCATCAACGTGACCTACAAACGTATAAATTTCCAAAGCGTCGTTTAATTTATACAAAGTAGATGGTATGTACAACAGCTGTTATTTTTTATTGTAATTGTATATTAACGTTTATATATGTATGTAATAATAATTATTATTATTTGAAATTTTATTATAAGTCTCATTTCTAAAAATATCACCTTTATTTCAAATTCCTTTTCTTTTTATGATTAATGAAACCATTAATCGCACCGGTTTTAATAAAAAAAAAAGACAAACGTAATGAAATATTTTTTTTTCAAATAACAATTGGATCCAAGACATAAATAAAATACTGAGGGTATAATTAGATGCCCTTTTACAGTAAATAGACATAAATTACAACGCATTGTAACATATGTTGTTAAAAAAATCGCTTTTCTTCCTTTATAAACTACCATACAGGTCATATTAACAATAATCATAATAGTTATAAATAAAAGTAGCTGCAATGGTTTATTTTTGTCAGTCTTAATAAATCTATTTATTTTACTTTTTAATTCCTACGCATATGGACAACACAGATTGAATTATTTATACAACAAACCGATAATATATTAATATGAGTTTACAGTAAGACATTAACCAATTTTAATTTAATTGTAAAGAAAAAAAAAAGGAAAGTTGAAAAAATATCAATTTACTGTTCAATTAATTGTTTTTGCTTTTTTTAATTAAAATAACCATTTTATAATTAATATGTATTGCATGAGCGTCTTATGTGACTGCGATTGTCACAAATATAGGAAACATTACGTTGTATAAAATAAAGGTACGGTTTCTCAATCAGACCAGCCGAAAAAGATGAGTCAATGTCATATACAAAAAAAATATTAAACATTCCAATTGCACAAAATAATTCCCTTAAATTATAGGACACATAAAAGGACTTTTTAAAATCTTCCATAAAGTTTGCATTTTTTTTTGTATGCTATTACAACTAAATTGTAATGAAACACAAAAAAGTTATTTGCTATTATTTCTAAAAAGTGCGATATTTGTGACATGAGGTATCATTGTCGGCTGGGCCTTCATACTTTCCGAACAATCACCATTAATAATAATACTACAGTCAATTATAAAATATATGTATATGTAAAAATTTTAGCATTATCATCCTCATCATCATAATTACCAATCGCCTTGTTCTATGTCTCCTCTTCCTACTCATTTCTTGTTTTGCTGTTGCTACGTCTATCTCTCCTCGATTTTTTTAAATACCGTTTGTCAGCCCGTATCGGAAAAATTATGTTTGACTAGAAAGTAACAAATGTTTTAAAATTAATCAGTTCATAATTATTACATATATAATATATTTAAAGGAAGACTGGCTTTATTTCTTGTCAAACAGGGGCAGCTTGGACCGAACGGCCCCCTCGCACACCACCAACCTCGAACACTTAGGTCTTTGTTGGGTACACGCGCCTTGCGACCCATTCGTACAACCTTGAGATAAGAGACCGTTGCAACCCGTCCCTTGTTGCCTCTCCAACGACCGTCGTAACGCGGCTATTCGTGAGCTTAGTTGCAGCCCGCTCTTGGTTACCCCCGTATTACGTAACGGAGTTCCCTTTCGCTCGAAATACTCTACTATACTAGATATGTTAGGTCGTAATTCTTGTTGCTGCTGCTGATCGGCAACGCTCGAAACGTCGTCGCTGCTATCCGTGTAAATGGACGACGCCCGCTTGCACAGCGCGTGTAAATCATTCGGGTCGAGCTCGTCAAGTGATCGGAGAGAACTGACAGCTGTACCACTATCCCACAGACTGCTCGGAGACAGGCACTCGCCCACGCTCGAGTAGAAGCCGGACTCGCACGACCCACGTCGGCGCAGGTTCGTATGAACGCCGCCCAGTTCGGATAAGTTCGTACTGGAGTCGCCTTTGATGAGTAGCGGGTCGACATAAAGGGGCGTTTGTGGTGCCATTTTCCGAGCAGCGGGCGGAGAGCTCGGCAATGATCGAGGACTGTCACAGGATTCGATCAACGGGGACGGCAGCTCGCAACAGGACGAAAACAAAGACGTGCCGATGAACTTCCTCACGCCTCGTAACTGCTCTAAAGCCGCGAACGGATTAGTCGTGCGCGGCTTGTAATGCGGGTCTTGACGGCTCATCGTGACCGCATGGCGACGGGCCTTCTCACTTGGTGTCGAATGTGCACAAATTGACAACATTGAAACGTCCTCCGATAAAGACCTCCTATGCCAACCTGAAAAGAGACAAACGACTGGCGTTAGAAAATGTTAAACTATAAAATAAAATACAATTCTAATCCTAAGGGGAAAATGTAATCGTTGAAATAAATGAACTGAATAGTTTTTGTTTCAATGTTGGAAGCTCTTTCTCTTTAGGAAGTTGAATAATCTCACCTGTGATATAATATCGTTTAACTGTGATTTTTGGAGTCAAAAACTTCCAAAAGCAATCCATTAAACAGTTCTGACATTCAGTCCATTTGTTCAGCAGTTTTATTAATAAGTCTTGAACATTTAGACATTTTAAGTAACGATAGCCATAATTGTTTTCTCTCTGTTAATAAAATGAGATGTAGGATGAGTTGCAATTTTGAAATAAACAATCTATTTTAGGAAATCATGACTCCATTCGTTATTTTTACGGACATCTATATACTCTTACACGGGGAATAAAAACAGTATCATTTACGTCCACAAGAGGAGGCACCACGAAAGCGAGCAACTTTATTTCTTGCTCCAACTTGATAAACAGTAACAACATCATGTCTTGTCAAGTAATATCCTCCAAAATGAGCTCTTAATTCAAAGATAAGAGGTGTCTAATAATAGAATTTTTAAGACTTTATGACATGCCCTACTGTACTTGCGCATGGATAGTGCTGAAGGGTAACTTACGAAACCTTTACACTTACTTTTGCGATGTGGTACGCATGACTGTAAGGAAGACAAACCAGTTAATTGCTCTTCACTTTTGGCATTACAAGTGGCCAGTCTTGCTGCTTCCCTCTCAGAAACGTGTTGGAGTTCTGCATAAATACCACTCAAAATTTTCACAACTTCGGTAAACGACGGCCTCTTGCTCGGTTCGATGGCGCAACACCTGAACGCCAACTGCAGGAAATCAGGTACAACGTTTCGGTCACACAATTCGATGAAAGCTAAGTAGTCGAGGCCAAAGTTGTCAGTCCGGGGTAGCATATCGGGATCGGCTTCTATACGAGCAATCAACTCGCACAGGATGATTCCGTAGCTGAATATGTCCGATCGTTCGTCGTAATATTGACCTTTGAGACATTCGGGGGACATCCAGTACGGAGACCCAACGGTACTCAGCTTGACACTACCTCGAGGATCGGGGATTCTTGCGGCTAAACCAAAATCTCCTACTACTGCTTGCAAGTCGCCGTTGTCGAATCTTCGAATTAAGACATTCTAAAAAAGAAACCCCCGGTTAGTAAAGAAAAACAAAAAGTAATCTTGTTTATGGACATGTACAGAAGGAGAGGGCCCTATGTGACATGTCCATTCTCCATAATTTATTAAGTAATTGAGTTATTTGAAGAGAGTTCGATATTGGGGCTTGATAGTCCTGATCCAGGATTAGATCTCCTTCGGTAAGTCGTTTATCCCGCGTTTTACCAGCTGATGTGGTTGACACTTAGTAACTGAAACTGTGGCGAAACGTTGGATAAACGACTCCATCGGTGGACTAACCGAAGGAAGATCATCAAGCACGACCCAGTAAAATTAAAACTTGTACCTGTAATTTGATTTTTGATAAACACTTTTTACATTTTATCATCGTCATCATAATGTCGTCAGGCCTAAGACTAGTCGGACACGCACCTCCACTCTTTCCTATCCTGAGCTAATCTTCGCATTTCCCTAAAACTAGAACAACCCACATCCTTAATCTAGGTCTACCTCTACCCCTCCTAAATGCCATTCCTGTCTCTAATATGTCTCTGACTAGACCTTCATGCCTGAGAAGATGTCCTACCAATCTATTTCGCCTATTTCTTATAGACTTCCTCTGTTCTCCTATTCTTTCTAATACCTCATCATCCTTGCCAGATGCTAACACTGCTATATCATCTGCAAATCTAAGCATACTAATCTTTTGCCCCTATATATCTATCCCTACAGTTCTACAGTTAATGATGTTGATCGCGTAAAGTAGCGATGACAGTGTGCATCCCTGTCTGACTCCCTAATATTTACTTCTCTACGTTGCAGCCCCAGCTCTATAACTGCCTGTTGCTTTTTATACAAACTAAGTATCACTCATCTATCACTGTAACTCATCCCTACATTTTTAAGTACATATATTTAACATCTTATCCCATTTAACATTGTCAAAAGCTTTTTATAAATCTACAAATCCTCTTTCTATCGTTTTCTCTATTATTACCCGTGAAGCTAGAATGATACACATTTGCATTTAACCTATTACTTCATTTCCTTACAAATTAATAAGTGTAAATAAATTATCGTAATAAGAAGGCACTACACTATTAATTAAGTAAAATCAAAAGCCAATAGTTATCAAATTCGGAAAATAATTCATTTATCAACCAAGCCACCAAACAAATGAAAAAACGCAAATATAAGGTTTAATTAGGTGTTGTTAATTGTTTGATTAGTGATTAATTACGACATTGATTTAACGACCTTGGTTAAAGCGTAACTAAACAGTGATACTAAACAACGTAACGTTTTTTTTTTGAGTTAACAGAAATGAACAAAAAGTTAACCTATTGTTTTTTTTTATTCATATGTATTTTCAATCAATCTCTTCCAAATAATTCAAAATTAAACAGGAAACGTTAGTCAAAAGTACTTTATATGTACGATCGTGGGTAATTAAATTAACAAAAAAGCTTTTCACAATTAAAATCAAACATTCCATGGAATAAAACTCAATCGACGTAAATTCTCAAATTCTATTATAAAAATCGAAAGTTCAATTTTAGCAATAAAACTTACATGCCCAGGTTAAAAAGATAATTAACACTTAATTACGTTTAAAAACTCCAAAAGCACCTGTTAGTTATTAATTAAAAAAATATTTAAAAATAGAATAGACCTTGAAGAAGCAAATACTTTTTTTTTGACTTTTCTACTTACTTTACTTGTTAAATCTCTATGGAAGACACCCTTTGAATGGAGATATTCCATACCCTTAGCAACATCTTTCGCTAAGGAAACCCGGACGGATTGGGGTAGATCGATATCAGGATCTTGGATCAACTGTTCTAACGAACCACCGTTTATAAATTCCGTAAGGGCATGAAGCTGGCCCTCATGGACGCAGACCCCCATGAAACCCAAGATATTCGGATGGGACAGTTTGTTCATCAGCTGTACCTCTTTTAACATGTTTCTTCTATTTGAATCTGACAAATTCATTTTAAGGGCCATAACGCGTCCCGTAACCCTATGGGTCACCTGCAATAAAAACAAAACACTTAAATTAACTTTCACATCTGGAATTTTGTTTAAATTAAATTGGACATTTCAACAAGTGTACAAAGGACAAACTAGCAGACTCTTGAATGAAAGGACTTATGACCCTAAACGTAGAGAAACTGACCCTGCCTCAAAGAAAAACACAAAAATGACTGCTTTAACGTCTCAAATATTCTGAACAAGGAAAATAAGTCAGACAACAAAAACTATGCCCCTTACGAGTACAATGAGTAAATTATTCTTCTTTAGACAACACCAAGTAAAACATTATTTTATTATTGATTACAGACTTTCAACAAATAGTATCTACAGCAATTAATGTCTTTTTCATTACTTTACTAATGATGTACCTAATTAATTTTTCATTAGATTATCAATTTTTATTACCAAAATAAAAAAAAATTAATACAAGAAATAAGATGTTTAAGTTTAATTACATTAAGAGATTTAAAATAAAAATGTTATTACTAAAAGATATGTGCCAGGGTACCAGCAGTTATAGGTATTCGTCCTACTATGTAGGTAATGAAATTAAGCTATGTACTTATATATTTCCGAGTAGGTAAACTACACCAAATCTTATTATTTTTAAGTGAAAACCGATATATTGGCTCAACTATTTTGTACATCTATTATGCTTATCAAGGCCCCTGGAGGAATTTTTTAAAGAAACGTTTTACTTGAAATGTAATCTACTTGCAGCATTGAGACGCTGATTTTTTTAACTTCCAGTTCTATTATAAAGTCTAATAAATTCTACGTAACTTATGTGTCTAATTAGGTAATGTTGTAAATAGTAGTATAGCTGTAATGTCAATCTGATTTAAGAAGGTATCGGAAAACAAATTACTAAATCAAAAGAGTTGTACTCAATTTGTTTCAACAGGGGCGGCCTTAGCCATTGCGAGGCTCCGGGCGGGTAGATCTTTGCTAGGCCGTTGTCTTTGTGAAATTAGTTTTAATGATGACTTGACGAGAAATGCAAAGTTATTAATAAAAAGTAAATGTGTGCTGGGACACATAGTAGAAGTGAAACTTAAACAGACAATTTGAAAAACGAATCGCAACAAAATTTTTACCTCAAGTTTTACGGGCAGATTGTTAATGTACTTGTCCAATTTAAAAACCTGCCCGTAACTTGAAGTCAAAATTTTGTTGCGATTCCACTTGTCCGTGGAAGTTTCACTTCAATTATGTGTCCCAGCACACATTTTGTTTTCACAGGTTTACTGTAAATTATGATTTGGTTTTCACACAGACAGCAAATAGAGGCAATAGTGCCCACGTGAAGAGCAGAGGTAAGAAAACAACAGCTGACCACAGCACACGCCGCCGGGACTCTAGCGGACTCCCCACTCTTCGCGCGGCTGCGCAGTATATCCATCTAATACAGCAGTTGCCCTCTCTCCGCCGCCGTCAGCCTTTCTCTCCGCCGCTGCCACCTCTCTCCCCTCGATATACCGTCTACCCTCTCCACGCGGCCGTAACGCTTTTGTCGTGACAGAAAAAATCGTAATATTCCGCGTCTATATAGAAGTTTCACTTCAATAAATTTAAAGTTTTATAATTGTTTATTGGAAATTAACAAAAATTGTTAAACGCAAAGATAAGAAATTATTAATTATGATGGACTAAGGTAAATTAATGCGAGTGCGCGAGGCCCCTGAAAGAGCGAGGCGCCGGGCGGTTGCCCTGCTCGCCACCCTCAAAGGCCGCCCCTGTGTTTCAATATTATCGGAAAATGTAAATTCTCGACCTCCCAAACTGTTCTAGTAATCAATGCATGTAAATTTTTAAAAATAATTATTTAATAATTTTAGTAAGTACATTTATAAAATTCCTACCATTAGTTGAGAAGGAAAAAGATAATCCACCATTTTTAAGCCATTATATTGCAGTTAGCAAGATTTCAAAGTTCTAACCATTTGAAGTGGTTTTTTAGATAGTTTTAGCTAGTCAAAAGTTAATTACAATTTTTTTTTTGGACCACAGAAAATAACTTAAATCTACTGTTACAAAATTTCTCAAACAATATGTAAATATTTTAATAATCACTTGAAATAAGTGTTCATATACCGCTGACTGTTTTAAAAGTCGAAAATGTTTCAGCAATGTAATAAATGACTTCATTGATAGCCAAAATATTTTATTTATAAGTGCCCCTACTACAGCAGGCGAGGCGCTCAAATGATGAATCAGCGATGTTTATTAAAACGGATGGTGACGACAAAAAGTGTCAAAAATACTTTCTGTTGACATTAATCTACAACCGTATATTTAATAACACACAGTTCAATGAATATCTAAATATCATCGATTTATTTAAATTCTATTTTTATCAACTTTTACTTCCATTAATTTTCTACAAATCTTACAATTCTCGATCACATTTATCAACTTTCTTTTATTTTCCATGAACAGTAGATTTCATTTATTACGACTTTGGCTATAGCGACCATTTTCCTATTACGACGTTAAATCGAAGTCCCTTGAATTTAAAGCATACTTTAGTACACAATTCATGTGACTATAGCGACTTCGGATGTAACGCCGAGTTCGGGTATAGCGACCGTTTTTAACGAATCATTTGTAACAAATCCTTAGTAATCCCAGGCAGATATAGCGACTTTACCGCTTGTTTATAGATGTTAGTTAAAATGGTTCAGCTACAAAGTGATACACTGAGTAGTAACTGTGTTTAGCAAACTTTTGAAGAAGTGTGACTCCTAGATACACATTTACTGTTACAAAAAAAATTAAATAATAGTGAAAACTATACACACGTGTCTGTATCTCTTTAGCTTTGCCTGTAACGACTTCCGGATATAACAACGAAATTACAGTGGTCCCTTCGTCGTCGTTATACCCGAAATCCCCTGTATTTCTATTAAATTACAGTATATACCCATTGCATTCCGGAAACCCAACATCTAATGTCTTAGAAACGAAAATTAAAAGCAAGTCTCATCAACCCCCGACCCCTCTTACTTTACTCCAATTCAATTGCAATTTCCACTGATCGAAGTTTTTCTTAGCTCAACCTGAATCCTAAATGCAGCGTTACTACGGAACATTTTATGATTTTCAGTGAAACTTTAATATGTTATCACTGCAATTAAAAATATTTTTACGATGCTAACCGTGAGATACTAATAAAATAAAATTATCATGGTCGACTCTTGACTCTTATTGTTTATCATGTTTGAATATTATCAAAATGTCATCCAATTTTTTTTGGGTTACACTGTAGGCACTTAATCTTGAAGGTAACACGTTTAAATTTGAATTCTCGATGAGCAATTCGTCCGTAATCATTACAGATACGGCAAAACATAGGAAAATTTACATGCAGTCACTTACTTACAAGTTCATTACGTCAAACTGATTCATTACTGCAGCAGACGCATTTAAAATGTATGTACGTAAATATAATACCATAAAAAAAAACTTTTACTGCTTATTTTTACTGAACCAGTAACTTTATTTTTATTTTTGTGGACATGTTTGGTGGATCGTTTGTATTTTAATTGTTGTTATTTTGATAGGAATAATAACTAGAGCGCCAAGTATGATGTATATTAATTTCGTAAATGCGTAACAGTCATTAATGACATCATTTTGGCATGTAAGTTTTGTTTTTGCAAAATATTTTTAAAAAACAAGAGTAGGTATTAATAAAAAATATGTACGAAAAAAAAAACACCCTCACATTTTCTTGACTAATGAGCAGTGTTGTTAGTTCGTCAAGAAGTTCCCCATTAAAAAGAAACACTTTCCACACAAAACTATTACTGATGGGGATTGATATTTTGAAATTGATTAAAAACCGGCCCTGGCTGAAAGGACTTTATTAAAAGTGGCGACCACTACCGCCTCATAATAGTTTAATGGTGGTCGCCCCACGCGTGGTAATGACTAGCATTCGATATAAGCCACTCGTAGCTTCCAGTGGCGACTACAGGCAGCCGAGAGTGCGACCGTCTAAAGATTGATGAAATGTTTTGAATATTTAAACTTTAAACTGATCAAAAACCGGATCTAGCTACAGCAACTGATTAAAGGTAGCGGCCACCAGCGTCTTATGGCAGCTTCTAGTGGTAGCCAGGCATGGTAACCACTAGCGGTCGATATAAGCCACTCGTAACGGCTTTCAGTGGCGACTACAGGCAGCCGAGTGTGACCGTCTAAAGATTGACAAAATATTTTGTAAATTTAAATTGATCAAAAACCGGATCTAGCTACAACTGACTAAAAGTAGCGGCCACCAGCGTCTTATAATAGCGTCTAGTGGCGATCAGGCATGGTGACGTTTAGCGGTCGATATAACCCACTCGAAACTGCTTCCAGCAGCAACTACATGTGGCTGAGTGTGCGAGTGACCCAAAAAATTGATATTTTTAATATTAAAATGGCTCAATGATCTGGTTAAAACAATTATGTTATTAAAAGTGGCGATCACCAGCATCGTATAAGAGCTCTATTAGACTAGGCCGCCAGGTAACGCAACCAGTTCAGCCACTGGTGACAATTATTGTCATGGAGCCTATTAGTTTTGGGCAACCAGTGGCGTCGCTACAAATTGGTTGCTGACTGACTGCCGTTCCCTGCATGTTAATATCTGGTGGCAACCACCTGTTGCGACTATTAACGGTCGATATAAGCCACTCGTAGCCGCTTCTAGTGGCGACTACAGGTGACCGAACGTATTAATGTTATTAATTTGCCGCTAAAATGGCTAAACTCACTATGCTATCAAACGAATATGTACTGAAAATTGTTACCTTATTCTATAGCTTCCGCTAAGGAACAAATTTTCCTTGCTAATAACGTGTGCTAGAATGGCATTCAAAAAGCCGTCCAATTCTGTCAGTTCTTTTATAAAAATTATGTAGCGAGCACGAATGCGTTTGTGTGCGATCGGGCACACGTGTGTGTGAACGGCTTATAGATTCGCCGACTAGCCGCGGGCGCCTTTCTTC